CCCTTCTCTTTTGACCTTTGCCCTCCTTTTACACCTCTTTTCTCCTGACTCGTCCCAACGGTACGATGCATGACAGGATTAGGTAGGCTAGTGCAGCACGCCTTTGACTTGGGAAGTTCGCCAACTGCCCGTGAATAGTTCGCTAGGGAGTTGTTGGGCAGGCCTAAGCGAGAAGGTCATCATTCCGGTAGATCCCATTATTGACGTGTTATCTCATTGTTGGTTGTGGTAAAAGTAGGCTCAATAATTGCCCCCGACTTCTCCACTGATTGGAAATGAGTCCAAGAGTCGATCCCTTCAGTGTCACTGCAACATAGTAGAGATTTTGTCTCATACCCAAATGTATTGGCAGTTTTGACGCCGCAATAGAACGATTCAACCTTGACCTTGCCACGCTAGTCAGTGTGAAATGAGAATTTCAGAGAAACAATTAAGATAGTCCACCTTCCAACCTTGCCACACATCTTGGAAGAGTACTGGTCTAGCCGCGCTGAACAAGGTTTCTGGAATGAAATTACTCACCCCACCCTTGCCATGCATCCTATAAGAGTACGAGTTTAGCCGAAGTGAAATTGAGTTTACGAAGAAACAATTAGGCTTTCGGAGAAACAGTTAGATGGGTCCTATCCTGGCTTAGGTGTGCATCCCAAGAGAGTACACACTTAAATATAATAGAAGGGAGTTAGGTTCCTAGAAGAATAGTTGGTTGTCCACGGATGAGCATCTCCCCGGAGGGATTTTACTCCTTGCTTCGTGAGGCACTAGACATAAAGTCATCTTCCTTCCCCATTGGGCTTATGAGGAAGTTAGAGCTTTATGTGACCATAAGATCGACATAAGACAATGGCGTGGTTTGAGACACCCTCCCTAGAACCACATATGGTGCCTTAAGGGGGTGAAAAGATGGTCCATGTATGCGGGTCGCTAAGACGAGGGGAAGCTGTTGATTTTTTACAGCTTGTGCAAGCCAGCTAGTGGCAAAACATGGCGTTTTCCGAAGGCGTTATCTCGATTCCCTTACTACCACAACAATCTTCACGTTGTGCTTAGACAGAAAGTTTGATGGTTTTAGAATCATGTTTGGACATACCTTGGAAAAGAGGTTGGAAAGCTTTTGGGAAGAGAAAGCCCCTCAGAAGGGGAAACCTCAATTCCTGGTGGTGCCCCAAAAGGCAAGCGCATCCGTGGAGGGAGCTGGCAAGGAAGACCTAGAGTAATAATGCGCCGCAAGGCGAGTACATCCTAAGAAAGAGCACACTAAAGAGTTTTGTGGTAACCGGAGGGAGCTGGCCACGAGGACCTGGGGGTCTGCGAGACCGGAGTCCAGTGTGTTGGTGTTAAAGGCACCATCATAATTACATTTGCCCTCTTTTTATACCCCTTCTCTCCAGTCTCGTCCCATTGGTACTGCGTATGGTAAGAGCAGGTGGACTGATGCCAACTGTCCGAAAATAGTCTGTTAGGAAACCATTGGGCAGGACTAAGCAAAAAGATCTTCTTCTGGCAGGGTCTACTACTGGTGTGTCGTCTCCTGGTTGATCGCGGTAAACTGGGTCCAACAACCCAGTTTTTTTTTCATCCATCAAAAGGTTTTTTTAATAACAAAAAAAACCATAAATAATTTTTTTTTCGCATTCAAAGTATTTTTGTTATTTCCTAATTCATTAAAGATTATCAAATTTTGTCGTCTTATACTATATCACCGTGGAGATGGCCGTTGCAAACAAGTCTGGTGTGTCGTCTTATATACTACATCACTGTGGAGATGGCCGTTGCAAACAAGACTGTTGTGGAAGCGAAATGGTGATACGACGACGATTGGTGGTGGTTGAAACAAGATGTTTTCGGTCCTGAACCAAATATCCTTAGCCTCTAATCAGTTGTAGAATAGGGATCATGTATCAATTCATTTGTGGAAGATGAGATGCAAGCAATGCCATAAGCTAAGCAATGATGGGGTTTTTGATTGAACAAGGACAGGTCTAACAACTTAACAATGCAATAGAAAGAAAACAGAAACTAAATGCAAGTAAATAGAACTAAGCAATGAACTTAAAGCAATGCCTAAGCAGGAATTAAGCAGAAATGATAACTAAAGCAAGAACTAAGCAAGATGATCTTAAAGACAATTGATTAAAAGCAAGACTCAAGGTTCTAAGCAATTGTGGGATAGTGATTTTCAAGAGTGAAAATGGGGATTTCTAACAAACGCAAGCATTAAGCATTCATAAGCAAGCAATTCTAAATGTTGTACTCCTAGACAAGGTATCTAAAAGGAACCAACTTGGCGTCAATAAGCAGTTCATATTCAACAAGATTGAAGTGTCAAACCCACTTGTGATGGCGTATTCTTCAACCATGAGCATAAAGATCAGAACCATTATAGCCTAAGAGATGTACTAATCAAGCTATCATTCTCTCATCCAAGCAAGAATTCAGATCAACTTATCAATCTTGTGAACCAATAAGGACCTAGTTAGCTAAGCACCAATCAAGAATATGGACTTAAACACACAGCTGCAACATCCTAACAATGCTAAGCAATGAGCATGAATGAAACAAAGGCAAGATCTTTCAATGCATACTATCTAACCATCAAGCAAGAATTTCAAAACCAGCATTATTTAGCCGTCAGCGAATTATCTAGCAATGGTGAACTATCACTTTCGTGTCACTCAACAAAGAAAACATAGACCAAGCCAAACTATCAAACCAAATAAGCGAACCATGCTTAGAGATGAGATAACAAGCCATTTAGTGAACCATATGCATCAATCAATACCATATTCAATCAAGAGGAGCAAGCTTTATGAACAATAATCACTTTGCAAGAGAAGGAAACAACAAAGAACACTTAAATAAACCTAATCACTCCTTAATCACATCTAAGGTAGACTACTCACTAATCATGTTTAATCCCATTTTTTTAGAGTTAAACATGACTTGATGAGATTAAAATGCAAAGATTATAAATCTAAACTACCAAGGTGCTAGAACAATGATCAAGAGACAAGATTAAACCATAAAAATGCACACTTTATTAAAGATAAAGATTCTAAGGCAAATCGTCCTTTAAAGTTTAGAGAAGAGAGAGTATTTTGATGAAAGACTAAACTTGGATAACGATAATGTTTTGTGGCTTCCTTTTTATAGTAGGAAACCAAAAGAAGCATAAAAAACCTAAAAATAAGATAAGGTCAACAAAAGTCAAATGGTCAATGCGCGGATGAGTTGCATTGAGGTGGTACGGATGGTGTTCTGCTTGATATACGACCTCGATATGGCTCGTGCAGCGCGCATCGACTTCTTTGCTCGATGCTGGACCTCGATGCAGACGAACGGCTTAAACTCCTCGTGTTGATCCTCTTCCTCATGTCCTGCTGCTTACGTCGAGCATACTCCACGAGTGTTCTGCTCAATATGCTTGCTCGATATGGACCAGACTTTGCAAAAACTCTATTTTTGACATCTTCTTTGATCATGAGCTGTTTCCATCTCCTTCCCAACTCCAAAAACCTCCAAAAACACCTGAAAACCACCACAAACATGCACATGTATGCAAACGTATGCAATCCTAAGCTAAATGCATGCCATGTTGATTCTAAGTACAAATGATACTAAAATGCTAAACTATAATGCAAAAACAGAGAAAAAGATGCATGAAATGCAGCTTAAAATACTCTAAAATAGCAAGTTATCAGTGGTGATAACGAGTTGTTGTCCAAACAATCTGAGATATTGCTAACAATAAGTCTCTCTTCTCTTCAAAAGAAGATTTCATAATCACGAACATTTTCCTTCACATGATTTCTGGTAATGTTATATTGTTTGACTTTTGTGCTTACTGTCCGTTAAAACTATTTCTAGCGGTTTATATTGGGTAAAATGGTGAAACGACGACGATTGGTGATGGTGATAAAGAGTTGTTGTCCAATCAATTCGAGACATTTCTAACGATAAGTCTCTCTTCTCTTCAAAAAAAAATTCCATAATCATGAAAATTTTCCTTCACATGATTTTCGGTGATGTTATATTGTCTGAGTTTTGTGTTTTTTGTCCGTTAGGAACTATTTATTGCAGTTTATATAGGGCGGTCTTAGGGTTTAGGAAAATTCTAACCGTTCAACTTTGGAAACAACGACCATGAAAACCGCCATGAAAATCATTATGGAAAAGACAACGTTTTGAAATCGAAGATGCACTCTCTTTGTTGTATGGTGATATTCGTAAAATCGTTGGAGATTGGCAATCACAATTTCTATTTCTATGAGAAGAATCAATATATTAGATTCTTAACTGAAGAATTTCTATATATCTAAATTGTGAGTTGGCTGAGATGGATTTCACTGATGCGGGAAGAAAAATCAAGATGTTGATGTGTTTGTTTGATATTGAGACTTTTACAAAATTATTTTAGGTATATGAGAATTCATTTTATTATCAAAAATATTGATTTGGACTAATTAGATAGATCTACTATCGAATGTAATGAGTTTTTGCTTGTGATTTAAAATTTACAAAAAATAATATTAAAAAAGTATATCAATGACAAGATAATAGAATAGTGTGTAAAGGAAAAATATAAACAGATATATAAATTTGTTTATGAGTAGAGCATTTGTGACCAGAATGCATTGAATAGCTTTTTGTCAATTTATCATTTTAATATATGGCATATATAACTGGTATGTGTAATAATTTGTATCATGTAGATTTATAATAACTGAATGTTGTATATTCACATTATTTAATGAAAGTTTAGGAAAAAAAAATAACAGTTTTGATTTTGAATTTTGGGCCGTTATTGGGCTCAGAATAAGAAAACCCGTGGAAGATTCCTTAACATCTTCAACCTAGCTACAAGACTAACTGGTGGGTCCCATTTGCAGCCATGGACCCAATCTTAAACTTTTTCATCGTCGACAAAACAGAAAAAAGCGAATCTCATTGACATATAAAATGAAAAAAAAACGATATTCATAAATCAGGAAATAAATGAAGGAGAAAAAGAAAAAGAATGAGAGGAATAATAAGGAAGGCTCATATATTAGTCTCATCAATCTCATCTCTTTCTCCTCTTTTCCAATTTTCTCCAACTTCCTCTCTCTCTCTCTCTCTCTCTCTCTCTCTCTCTCTCTCTCTTCTCTTCCATCTTCTCTATCGCCCCTTCTGTAACTGAGATTTATCAGTGGCGATTCCGATGAGATTATCCTCTCTGAAGAAACCGATGGCTGTTGCGAATGACGAGTGGGTGACGGCGGCTTTGACGGACGACGAGATGGTGGTAGAGCTTCTTCTACGCCTCAAGCATGCCGGAACGGTAGAATCCGAGAATAATCCCGCGGCGAGTCCACCTCTATTACGGTGGGGTTTCCGTCAGCGACGGTCGCGGCCGTCGAGATTTGGCGTCGGCGTCGGAGGTTTCTTAAAGAAAGAAACGGATTCCGCTAGAGCTAGTCCAATGACTCCTTTATGCTGGAGCGGCGGATCTGGTAGCGGCGGCTCTACTTGTCCCTCCGCCGCAACCGCCGATGGATTCGAAGACACTAGTCTTCAAACTAGCTGCTCCACATCCACCGGATCCGGATCTAAGGTATGTTATAACCGTCTCCTTCCTCAAATCTCCAAATCTCTCCGCCTGATTCTTTTATCCGATTCTCCTTCTTCTCCTGAAGCGTCATTCTCCTTTTAAGGTTATCTATTTGATTCGCGTTTTCGTAATTCCGACGATTTTTGCAACTCCATTATCGTTTTTCTCTTTCGAAATCCCTAAATGATAGATTTCTAGTTTTTTTTTGGATGACGTCATCTTACGTTCGTGGTCTTCGGCTAAAAAAGCGTTTTGACCAGATTGCGTTTTTGTCAGTTTCAGTCGTCTGCATCGGAGAAAGATTCGTCTTTCCACCGGAAATTTAAATGGTTCACTGAGTTTTTTACCTTTTTACCTCACCGTGTAGGTGAATCTAGTTGCCATCTTACTTACGGATCCATCCATTGAGTCAAAGGTTTTTTTTATTTAGTTGAAATGATTTTATTATTTTGTTTGTTCAGATTTGTTTTTTTCTTTCCTTTTGGTAAGTTGCACAATTCCTGGATACGACTTTAATGTGCTAATCTTCCCACTCAACGAGGCTTTAAAGAGTTTAAATCTAGAAATTTGTTTTTACTGTTGAATCTTAAATGAGCCGGTGATTTTGTTAAACCGGTTTTTAAGCGTTGATTTTAAGGAAAAAAATTGGCCGGTTTGGGCAAATATTAGGCTCGAGCGTCTTCGATACGATTCGGGTATAAAACGCTGTCGTTTTTTAATGTGGTGAGAGAGCGAGTAAAAATCTTGTCGGATTGTCGTCACGTGATGATGATGTGGTGATGGTGGCATGTGATGTTGCCACGCCACGGGATTATCATGATGCGGCGTGCATGATCCATGTTTTAAAACCTTCAAACAAATTTATAAATCTTTCGAATTTGGTTTTTCTTTTTTGATATAAAAATTTACCATATACAAGGCCTTTTTGAATTTAGTTAGCTTTTACTTTTTGTTTTGGTCTATAAAAGGACTTTTCTTTGAATTAAAGACTTTCTTATTTGATTCCGTTGAACTTTACAAATTGTTACCTTTATAGTATTAATAGCCTACTCTAATAACATCTTGATCGTTAATTAATCCGTGTGATTCGTTTAATCTTTGCAGGCTGTGCACGCAACAAATGAAATCACCAGCTCTTGCTCGAGGAGATCAAAGAAAAATAAGGTAACAGAGATCTCACTATCTCACAATACAGTATGCGATCTGCACCATCTCTAATTTTCTTGACTTATTTTTTTACAGACGACATATATGGAACTTAAAGATGCGGAGAACTTTCAGTTAAAGGAAAGATTTCACCTTGAAAAGGTATAGTCTTTCTATTGTTTAATCTCTTTTTCTCCTACTTGCTTCAAATAATTTGTATTCTAATGATTTGTTTTGTCTACAATCAGAAGATTGCAAATGTGCAAGCAACGTACCAAGAACGAAGTGCCAAGAACCAAAGCTTGAAAAGAATTAAGGTGTGGTTTTTCTCAGACAGTTCTTTTTTTCTAACCAATTTGGTCCCTCTGATCTTGAAACCTGAATTAGAATCTTCTGTTTTTTTAGCTTGAATACTCAGATCGAATCAAGAACATTCCAATTAGTAAATCGAATATCGTCGAGTCCCGGAAAAGGAGGCACTTACCTTGTTCCATATCTGAGAAACTCGTGAAAACCGAACATTCCAACATAAGAGCAAGTGAAACCAAGAAGGGTTTCTTCTTCTTACCTGATCTGAACATGACGCCCACCGAGGAAGACGGGGATAGCTAAAGAAAGCTTCAATGCCTCAGGTAATTAATAGAGAAATCATCAATGTTGTAGCTTTTTGTCCGTATAAAATGGTCGGAGATTGGAGTAAGCGAGTTCGCCGGCAAGAATTCAAATTACTCAAGAAAAGCTGGAGAATTTTTATAAGAAGAAAAAGAGAAGAAAGAATGTAATAAGAGAGGATTACACTATTATTCTCGTTTTTCTCTTGTTCTTTCTCTTCTTATTAAAAGAATTTCTTGGGCACAAGTATAATGCTTCTTGTTTTTTGAGTAGTACTATACGGAAATTAGGGTTTTTTCCTTCTTCTTCCCCCCCGCCCCTGATTCGTTGTAGTTAGTGCGTAATTCAAAAGTACGCCACCTAATAGACTTTAAAAAAAGGTTATATATTTTTCCTCATTTTGTGGCTAATAATTTTTGAAAATTTCGAAAATTCAGGCAAAAATTAAATTTTAGCGATTTATGTATGTAACAAATTGGTCTTCTGCGACTCTCCTCTCCCATCAGTTCGTTCTCGGCTGTCGGGAATTGGATAACATCAGTAAAAGCCCAATTAGATTCTGAAGCCCAGGATTGGCCCATCTTCACTCGTTACATGTGCCGCAAGAAATCAGCAGCAGAAGAAGAAATCCTAGTTGCAAAATTTTGAAACAATGACGACGAGGATGTCAAATCTTCCAAATGATTTGGTAGAAGAGATCGTCTCTAAGGTTCCCTTGAGATCTGTACGAAAAGTGCGATGAACTTGCAAAAACTGGAACACTTTATCGAAAAGTCAGAGCTTTACAAAGATACACATCGCTAAAGCAGCATCAACAATGGAAGGCGAGTCTCATATCGTGCTAGTGAATAAATTTCTTTATTTAATGAGTGTCACCAAGTTTTTTTATTTTTTTCACAATAATAATAAATTAAATCATTTGTGGTATGTTTGATAAGTTGTAATTTGAATTTCAATGTTTTATTTGGATAATTAAAAAATATTTTAGAAACTAGGCTAATACCCGTGCATACGCACATGTTTTTCTTATTATTTGATTTAGACATTATATATTTGTACATGAATTTATAAATAACACTAGATTAGGACCCATGTATACACACAGGTTTGAATATTATTTTACTAACATGAAAAAGTAAAAAGTAAAATTAGATTAATGTGAACATTAAAAGGTAAGATTAAGAACATTTTAGTAAAATCACTTATAATAAAACTGATTAAAGAAATTGACTTTCTCTTTTATTCTATGTTTACTTTTATATTTTTTACAAGTATGAATGAATATGAAAAAGTATAAAACAAAATTAGATCATTGTGAACATAAAAATATAACGTGGAGAACATTTTCGCAAAACCATTTATAATAAAACTGATTAAAGAAACTGGTTTTCTCTTTGATTCTGTATTTACTTTTATATTTTTTACAAATATGATTTTTTACTAACAAACTCTTGTCGAGAATCTCATTTGATAAAATGGTATGAGAACAAAATTGGCTTTCTCCTTCATTTTGCTCCCGCAATTCTGATTATTTTTCACCACTTCATTAGTTTTTCATCTTATCTAATTGATTCGAGTTTAAGAGAAGAATCAGCCTAGAAAAATTACAAAATGTTTTTATGTATTTATAAAAATTTGAGTAATAATTTTCTTTTTCTTTTATGATTAGTCTTTACTTTTTTTTAAACTGTTTTTTCTTTTTTTGTTGAAATACATAATTTTATTAAATATATTCATTTTTTAGATATTATAGTACTAATATGATATATATATATATATATATATTTTTATTTATAATTATGATATTTCCTAAATTTATGTTTTATTTTTAATTTAATCGCGACACATATCAAAATCTTAATCGAAAAATTTGATATGTGTCAGGATCATGTTAATTAGTAACACATAAAATTTGGTACATATTTTAAAGAAAAATAGGCGTTCTCCTTTATTATGCTTCTGCAATTATGATTGTTTTTGATCAATTCATCAGTTTCTCATTTTATTCGTTTGATTCGAGTCTAAGAGAAAAACCAGCCTAGTAAAATTATAAGAGGTTTTATATGTTTATAAAGATGTGAGTCATATTTTCCTTTTTCTTTTATGATTAGTTTTTATTTTTTTAAAAAAAGTTTCTTTTTCTAAATTGATATATATATATTTATTTAGATATTAGTGGTTTTATTTTCTTATTTATTTTTTAATAATAGATATATTTCATAAATTTATATTTATTTTTATTTTTATTGTCACACATATCGAAATTTAAATCGATTAACTTGCCATATTTTTCTTTTTCTTTTAGGATTAGTTTTTAATTTTTAGACAGTCAAAGTTTCATTTTCTTAATTCAAATATATGTATTTTTAGATATTAGTGGCTATATTTTCTTATTTATTTTCCTAATAATAGTGATATTTCCTAAATTTATATTTATTTTTAAATTTATCGTCACACATGTCAAAATCTAATTATTAACTTGCCATATTTTTGTTTTTCTTTTAGGATTAGTTTTTACTTTTTTTGAAAAAAGTTTCCTTTTCTTAATTGAAATATATATATTTTTTTAATATATTTGCATAGGGAGTAGATGATAGACACTTGTGTGGAACATTATAAAAGTAAGATTGAGAACATTTTAGTAAAACCACTTATAATAAAACTGATTAAGGAAATTGAGTTTCTCTATTACTCTATGTTTACTTTTATATTTTTTACAAATATGAATGAAAATGAAAAAGTATAAAACAAAATTAGATCATTGTGAACATAAAAATATAACATTGAGAACATTTTCGCAAAACCACTACTTATAATAAAACTGATTAAAGAAACTGGCTTTCTGTTTCATTATGTATTTACTTTTATATTTTTCACAAATATGATTTTTCTCTAACAAATTCTTATCAATAATCTCATTTGGTAAAGTGGTATGAGAACAAAATTGGCTTTCTCCTTCATTTTGCTTCTAAAATTCTGATTATTTTTCACCACTTTATTAGTTTTTCATCTTATCCAATTGATTCGAGTTTAAGAGAAGAACCAGCCTAGAAAAATTATATATGTTTTTATGTATTTATAAATATGCGAGTAATAATTTCCTTTTTCTTTTAGGTTTAGTCTTTACATTTTTTTTAAACTATTTTTCTTTTTTTGTTAAATTTGTTTTTAAATATATTCATTTATATTTATATTTTTTATTTTTTTTTTATAATTATGATATTTCCTAAATTAATATATTATTTTTAATTTAATCATGACACGTATTAAAATCTTAATCGAAATTTTTTATATGTGTCAGGATCATATGAATTACTAACATATAAAATTTGCTACATATTTCAAAGGAAAATTGGCTTTCTCCTTTATTATGCTTCTGCAATTCTGATTGTTTCTCATTGATTCATCAGTTTCTCATCTTATTCGTTTAATTCAAGTCAAAGAGAAAAATCAGTCTAGTAAAACTATAAGAGATTTTATATGTTTATAAAGATGTGAGTAATATTTTTCTTTTTCTTTTAAGATTAGTTTTTACTTTTTTGAAAAAAAATTCCTTTTCTTAATTGAAATATATATTTTTATATATTAGTTTTATATTTTAATATTTATTTTTTTAACAATAATGATATTGCCTAAATTTATATTTCTTTTTAATTTTATCGTCACACATGTCGAAATCTAAATCGATTAACTTGCCATATTTTCCTTTTTCTTTTAGCATTAGTTTTTACTTTTTAGACAGTCAAATTTTCCTTTTCCTAATTCAAATATACTAGGTGGTTTCCGTGCAATTTGTGCGGGGTTCGATTAATTTAAAACAAATTGACATTGATTTAATTATAGATAAAAAATTTAATATTATAATTATTTAAAATCAAAATAAAATATTTGAAAAATATACAATATATCATAAGATACATTTTTTGTGACAAAGCAAAATATATTATTTATATCTTATTTTCTAATATCTTTGATATTATCCGATAAAAACTCATGTTTATATCTTATTTTCTAACTCACAAATAGCAGCAACATTGGAGAACAAAGTAAATACAAATAAAAGGAATGTAGAAGCTTACAAAGCTCTTGCTTCTTCTTTAGGAACGATCTGTCAAAGGTCTCAGTAGTAGGATCAAACAAAATCTTAAAACTCTTGAAAACCTCTCTCGGCACCGATAAAGCAGCCATTAACCCTAAGAATTTGCAGGAATGGGGTGGCGGATTAAGCCTAGAGCTCTGATTGGTAACCCAATTTTCTTATTGCGGAATTGCAGGATGGTGGAAAAAAAGAATTACCGAATGACTTATTACGGAATTGCAGAATACATTTTTAACATGATTGGATAAATTATGCAGAATGACTGAATATAATTTAAAAATATTTTTACTATATATAATAAAAGATAAAATATTAATAATTTAATTAACTATTATAAAATAAGATAATTCTAATTGTAAATGTTTATAATCTATTTTTCAAAAAAAAAAATATATAAATTTTTTAAAATATTACAAAACTTAAATAATAGACATAACTTTATCATTAAATATTTTTTGTAACACCTTTATTTTTATTTATTTAATTACTTAAATATAGTTAGTTATATAATTGAATAATATAAATATTGATTCCGCAAATAATTTACTTTCAAACACACTTTTCTACTTAATGAAGATTTCTTTGTATTTTTTGTAAGCAAAAACGCAATTCCGCAGATCTTGTGTTTTTCTGCAAATTTTTCTTATTGGCAAAATTCTTGCGTTTTTCTACAATTCCATCATTCCGCAAGGTTAATAATTAGAGACAGTCTTAACCCTAACATGAGAACACCGATTACAACAAACAACCTCGTAAACAATATTAATACTCAAACAAAACTGCTGTGAGTAAATCAATAAACAGATTGTGGTCCCTTAGTAAGAAAGGACCGATCACAAACATCTATAATGAGCATAAAAAAACGAGAAGAAACCATTATAATAAAAAGAGATAACATATATTTTGTTTGAGTTAATACAAAACAGAGAAAATTAAACTAACCTTTTCAATATTGTTAATTATGCAACCATATATGTAACTCTTCTCAACGTGATTAATATCGTAATATATATACAAAGGGATTAGCTAGGTTTTGATTTTTTCTATTAACCAGCATCAGATTATATAAAAAAAACGTAATCACTAATCTAATAAAGTTTGGCCGCAAAGAATATGTAATTAGGTTTAAGTAAAAATAAATATCACAATTTAACATTAGTGAAAATAGCATATGAATTTCTAAAATCAATATTAAACTGAATTATTTTAATCAACTAATTTTATTAAGAGTAATTAAAGTAAATTCACATGAGGAGCAAAATGTAGTGAACCATGATGACTCTCGACCACAGCCCAATTTGCTTCTCAAATAATAATATGATATATATATATATATAT